TTACTATACATCTACTTCATGTTTATTTATACAGATGGCTGGCATGTTCTATACCTGAATAATCTTCGCTCAGCCTGAGGCAAAACGAGCTCTAAAAGCCCCTTAGGCAGTAAACATTTCAGATGACCTCCAACTAAAGTTGAGCAACAAGATAAATAAAATAAAATGGAAAAACCACAGAGACATGTTTGTTTTCTGATATGCCATGTTTTGGTCTCTGGAAACAGCTCCTCTTACATTAATCAAATACATCAACTTAAGATCAGAACATAAGATGCCTACTCATAAAACAATGCTCCTACATGCACAATAAAAAAGAACTAAAATATTTTTAGTTATTCAAAAAAGCAACATGTTTCAAAGTCATTAGAATAAAACATTAGGTGGCTGCTGAAGAGCTGCTCATTATTTCATTATCTCGTAATAATTATTCTGATCTCTCAACCTTCATGAGGATCTTAATAAAAAATACCAAATATTTAAAAAATACTTTAGCTCAATTGATATAAACTGTATAATACTGTATTTTGAGATAAATCCTGTATCTGAATCAATTTGAAGAAATTATCTTCTTACACTGTGTTACAAATGTTTATTATACATTTATGCAGCTCCTCTGAGTCCAGACTGGGCAGAACCATGTTTATGATTGTAGCTACAGTCGTATTTCTTTTTTGGTGCATCTCAAACCAGCTTTGCACAACTAAAAAATGCCAAACGTTTGTTGCAAAATAGCTCAAACCCAGTTAGATGTGTTAGGATAATTATTATAGATGATGTATGAGTTTATTACACCCTAATATTACCTGGCTGTTGCGTTTCAGAACTGATTTTATTCCCAGTAGTTTATATAATTAGGACAGTTCCTCTGTCCGGATGTACAGTTATAATCTTCATTAGGTACATGGCAAATATTTGAGAATGCTAGGAACAAAGTGTAATATTTTGATAAGGCTGGAGTCATGGATATCTACTCATCTGCTAAGGTATATGATGTAAAGATGTGCCAGACTGGAGGTGTATAAATGCGTCTTTAACTGTTTGTTGGGACCGCTTCCCAGGAGGTGAGCCCGGCTGGTAAGCAGCTGCCTTCTGTAGCTCTAAGCAACTTCTTTGATCTGAGTAAGATTACAATTTCTATCATAATCTGTTGTCATGTCTCATGGTTATTTAAAACATATAAGTTATGAAGTTTTATTTAAAGAGTCTGTGGTGAATGATCTCTTTTCAGAAAAAAGAACCGGAGAGAGAAAGCTCCAAGGTGTAAACACAGAGCTTTCCTTTAACAGATGTTAGGAATTCTCTTCTATATGATTTGATTGAAATCTATTCCATGGTTGCTTTGGTCGTATGGTTGGAGTGATGGTTGTAGAAGCTGCTGAACCTCTGCCTCACTCACAAACTTTTTGCTGCTTGTTCCTTGATATCTGTCTCCAGTCGGTCAAATCTGTCCTCTGCTGTGTTTCTTAGTGTTCGCTGTGCTATTTATGCACTAATGCTCTCTTAAACCTTTTTGAAGTCTTTACAGTACAACTGGAATCATGTTGATGTTATTACAAGCATGTACGCTGCATCTTCTATTAGGGAGCCGCTGAATCAAGTTGTTTACAATGAATCTCTTTATGTTTTTAATTTCTGTTTTGCAACAATAGCTAAAGAAACAAAACCCCAACAATTTCATTTTCTCATTTTGAAAAGAACATTTGAAAACATGCTTATTTGATCTGTTTTACCTCCATTCTCCTTTTAGAAGTGGATCTTTCACATATTAAAACCATGTTGCACCTGCAATTTTAATATGCTTACATTTCTGCAGCCATTAGGGTCACAAATGACACTTTGCTACAATAAGTTGGTTTAACACATCCACTCATTATACACAAATAATTTTTGACCATCCAATTTATAGCTCCTTATTTAGATTGTTAGATGTGTTTGTTAAAATACTATAAAAAACTGACCAGTCTTAAATGGGAATAAAGGTTCCTGGAAATCAAATGTTTATAAATCTTTGTGTTATATAAATACATTGATAGGATGGACAAAACAATCCCTGATGTTAAATAGATTACCAATTAATAAAATATAGATTTTTGTCCTCTTTTAATCTTGTGCATCTGATTAAATCTCTGCAACTGTAAAATATTTATCACCAAATAATTAATTAATCAATGCTCCTGATTTTCTCTCCTACATCTCCCAACTTCTAATTTGTACTATTCAGTACCCAATAATAAATTATTAGACAAATCCCAGTTAATGACGGATAAAACATTATTCAATTCATTATTCCTTTGGATATACAGTATTTAAAAAAAATATTCAGAGAAGGATATCGTGGACTTGTTTACTGATGTTTGACCACCAATTAGTTTTTTCTTGTTGCCTGGAAACTGCTTAAATTCCTAAGTTTTTCATGTTTTAGAGATGAAAGAACAAAATCAATCACATGCCAAGAAGAAAGATTATTTTTTTTTCTAAAACCCCTGGGTGTTTTTTTACTCGTACTTGGAAACAAATCAGCTTTGAAAAAAAATAAATGAATTTAGCTGCTGTTACTTTGTCTACGTCTGTTTATGACCTGGGGTTATCTATGACGCACTCAGCTCTGTAATAAAAAAATACTATTGGCTATTTAATCAAATATTAAAACGAGGCAAATGAAGATCAGTTGAGATTTTATGGTATATTTTTTTGTTTTGTGTTTTTTGCTGATCTCAAACACCTGTTAGCTGTTAGGTTATTGACAGGTTACCATTCAAAGTTTCTTCTGTAATGGGTTTTATATAAAATTTAGGGGGAAATTCAAACAGGAAGACTCATTCAAGCTTCATTTGCAATTAAGCACCTCATCATGCGCCAGCCAATCACCATCAAGTCCTCATTCCTCTTCAGCCAACCACTCTGCAAGGTTCTTCTTAAAGCTCTCAGTTACAGACTATTCTGGTCTTCAACTGAACTTCAATCCTCCTCCACCCCATCTCCTTCTGGCTTCTTTCTCTTCTGGTCTCCAATCCACCACCAGTGTCCGGATCCAAAGGGGAAAACATATCTAATCCTAATCTCAAATGATTTTCCAAACTACTCATCACTAGTCGAAGCTTCCGTGTCTTCTGCCGGTTTTCGAGTCCCATAGAACTGTCAGACCCATCAATAAATCTCTCTAATTGCTTCTTTCTTCTGTGTGTGCTAGTCTCTCCAGGTTTAATTGTACTTTGGAAAAATTCTGTCTGCTGCATAACAATGCATCTGCAGAAAAATAAAGTTGGTTCCAAATGAAGCTGCATGAAGCACATCTCTTATTAATCACTATTTACACATGATTTATGTACACTTCATCCTTTATTGGTATATGTGCAGTTGCTGTTTACCCAGATTACTTCTATTTTTTGTTTTGCATTTTTGAGAAAAAAAAAAACCCCGAACACTTAATAATTTTGTGCAGTACTATTCTAATAAAATAGAATTTAATTTACCCAAGAATTCACGGAAAAGACTACAAAAAAAATGCACGCCTTATCTTTAACCAGTCTAATTTCATCAGGATTACAGATGTAGCCTAAATGTGACATCAGAGGAAACCTGTTCTTGTCCTCCATAGTTACCCTACAGGTACACTATGGCAAAAATCTAATAAATATGGCTAAGTTAAGAGCACTAAATTCTGAAACAAGAATATTTTATTTCATTGAAAAGCAAGGAGCTCCAACTGGGATTGGTCATGCGAGAACGGAAGGTGGAGGCCTCAGTTGCCTCATTCTATTTTATTTTTTTATTTAACCTTTATTTTACCAGGAAGTCCCTTGAGATAAAATCTCTTTTTCGAGGGAGACCTGGAGACCATATAAAGTGGCTCCAACCTCATTGTGCCAACAAAAAACTGGCAGAGCGACCAGTGAGCTCTAATCCATGCAGCAACTATACACACAGCCCCATCCTCCAAAGAACGAGTTGTCATCCTCAGACCCTCAAATTTAAATTACAAAAGGGACTGTGGTTCTGGACAGATGTGCACACACCTCTAAAATTGTGCAATTAGTCTGTATAATATGAACCTCAGGGAAGCTTTGAAGTTTGCAGGTTGGGATTTCAATCTGGGAAGTAATTGCGATGTCAAAGAAAAGCTTATATCACAAATGACGAGGAAGAGGATGAGGTAAGAAAAAAAATGCATGAGCCTCTGGAGTATTGGTGATGTATATTAAGTTGACAGGAATCAGTATTTTGTCTGCATGATTCCTTCCAACTGTGCAAAGCACCCCTTATTTTGTAATAAAATCTGGTTGTGCAGAGCTTTGTACATATATCCCTCGTATTTGCATCTTTTCTGCTTCCAGTAAGATGTGACAATATTACAGCATTATCTCAACCATGAAGCTAAAACTTGTGGTAATCGCTTAGAAATTAAGATTTAATAAGCTGTTTTTGCACATTTTTAGGAATCATCTTTTAGATGATAGATAGATGTTATAATTGTTGCAACAGAAGAGGTGTTGAACAGCTGGGGAGAACCTTATTTGGTCAAAGCGAAAACACAGCAAAGTTATACTTCACACTAAAGATAGATAGGTAGTGAGAGGGAATGCTGAATGTTACCTATTCATTTAAAATGTGACCCCTTTTAAAAATGTAAGGTGCATTCTCCTATTTCATTAGTTTAAACTGCAAATCATGCATTTCACTTATTCATCAACCCACTCACAGCAGCAAGAAAAATGGTTATATGATAAATGTCTGATTTAAAGGCACAAATTTTGTCCCTGGTTTGCATTTAGAAAGTTGTCTTTCTAAATCTAAAGATGGTTCATCTGGATTTTACCGACTGTGAGTATTCCTTTATGTTTTAGATTGTCTCAAAGCAGATTGCCATTTGTGAATATTTCAGTGCAATAAACCTTGATCTTGATTTACAAAGTTGTGTCCCCTGTGCAAGTCTGGGTGTTTATATGTTCATGCATTAAGGGTGTGTGTGTGCAGGAGGGTGGATGTGTTTGAGTCACCGTTGAGTGGTGTGCTCCCTCCACAGGGACGCCATTTTTGGTCCACTGAATGTGAGCTGCAGGCTTGGCCCCGCGGGTTACGCAGGTCAAGTTGAATGCAGTACCAGCCATCAGCAGCAGCTCCGGCGTTCCCTCCACCACCGGATCCTCAGGGGGGACTGCAGGACAGACACACAAATCCATACTCTTGACTCTAATGCAAGGGCACTCAGGTTTAAAGAACAGCCACATCTGAGCACACACTACAGTTTCCCCCATAGGTCAAAGGAATTTAGCTTCGTATAGTTTCTTTACAAAAAAAATTAACACTTACGTATTGGAATTTTTTTTTTTTAACCAATCAAATGCAAAGTGCAGTGTCACCCTCTGCAAAGTCCAAAAGGTCATGCATTTTCCCCAGGAGATTCTAACTTTCTGACTTCTAACCTTTCTTCTGATTTAATATCTCATTATATTCTAGGGGAACTTGGTATAAATACAACACAAGTTGTTGGCATTCCTATAAGAATAATAGGCTGTTTTGTGCATTTTTATAATGGTTGGGCAGTTATCTACACTTAACATTCTACGACCCAAAGAATAATTGAAGAAGTAAGATAGGGTCCTAATAAGCTATATTGAAAAAAAAAGCGTACTTAAAAAAAAAAAAACAATTGCACTTTAATTTATGGTGTACTTGCAACTTTCTTTATAATTTCTCAGCAGACAACACAATATACTATGATGCAAATCCCTATTTTCAGAGTCCCGGTTTATTGTTGATGCTTTTAACTGAAGAATAGGCTCGTACTAATGTGTTAAAAAAGAAAAAAATAACAACAAAAAACTGTTGTTAGGTTTTTAAGATAAAAAAAATAAATATGAGAACTAATAGCCAAGGCTTCATTGTTCTAATTCATAATTGTTTCCTTTTAGATTTATTCTGTTGCTAATGATGCCAATAAAATGAGTTTGGTTTCAGAATAATTTTAACAACTGTAACTGGTTTGTTAGATCAGTGAGAAAGATATTCACATACACATTTATCATGCTTTTAATGACTAACTGGGCGTTGAAAAAGCCAATGGGGAAGGGTTACGGAGCAGGATGTCATCTTTTGCCAGCCTATAAGCTACTATGACTCATGGATTACACAATACAGCCCAGTGATTCATGACTTGACTTGGCGTCTTTCTAAGAGACTACAATTTTCACAAGAACATACTTCACGAGAGTGTTTCTTGCTCTTTCTTTTTCCAATTTCATGTCGAGATTGTCTTCTGTCCAAAATTCACAGTGAGAATGATGGTTCTGCAAAGCTTTCACAACTAAAACTTATTGAACATTTCTATTTTGCACCATTTGCAGTGGCTGTCTTGCTTTGGAAACTCATCCACAATGCAGTTTTTTTGGCAGAGATGAGAATAGTAATTTAGGAAAAGCTGCATCACTTTAAGCTAAGGAGGAGGAAGGCGACTGACTGAGGATGGATGGAATGCTGTTGTTTGGAGTCACAGACTAAGGAGCCGAGCAGTTAACCAGGCACAGCTGTGAACCGACCAGTAGATAACAAATACCTCACTGCTTTTTCCTGTTAAGTCTTCTTTCCTTGAATAACAGTGTGGATGATTTACAGCTGCAGGAACACAGGCTGCGAATTATTAAAAGAGACGGCTAGGATTTTGAAGGGATGAACTGCAATAGGCTCTGACCTAATCTGGAATTTCTTTTTTTTTTTTGTCCCCAGTATCCTTTTGTGTCTCTGTTAAAATATCATTGTCTTTTTCCAGGGAATCAGTAACAGGTAGACGTTTTTTAGAACCAGCTGCACTAATCAGAGCTTCCTATCCTACAAGTTGAGCTGCCTCTGTGTACCTGAGTGTACGCAAAGACAGACAAGAAGCTTCTGCAGCTCCTCTTTCTATGCAGGCAAAAGTAGAAAAAAGTTTCTGTGCAGAATCCAGTTACAACTAAATAAAAATAAACTTTGATTGTTGAAAACTGAGAGCTCAGAATATATGTGTGGTTCTTTCTGCAAGTGCCGCTGACACAATGGCAGACAGTAGACCATCAGCAGGTTTCAGGAGGTGAGCTTTGTAACAGTCACTGTTACCTTACATCATATTTAAATATTCTTAATAGTGAACCCAGCCCAGAGCTCAGCAGTCTTTGCAAACTAATGAAGCTATTGAATACTTGAACCTATAACCCTGAAAGAAAGATGTTTCTGTACAGTAAAAATACTATTTTATCAGAGCAAACCACATCAACACATTTTTAAACACAGCTACAAATTAACAAATGCGCTATGTTCAAAACCAGTGACACAGAAACACAACAGCATATTCAAACGCACAAGACTATTAAATTGAAACAAATACAAATGCAGAAATGCAACATATTCAGAATCACAATGGCATGACCTAATTGGAAGAGGTAGATATCAGTGAGACCTTGATGACGACGGCACTATTTGGCTTTTAATCCAGAAATCATTCTGCCTATACTTCCATATTCAAGGTTTGAACAGAAAAGGCAAAATGACTTCCGGTTTGTTTTTAAATATGTTGCTGTGTTTCTCGAAATTTAGTATTTTTTATTTGTATTAGTCTCAAGTTATGTCATTAAGTTTCTGAATATATTGTATTGTTTTATTTCATTTGTTTCAAATTAATGTCATTGGGATCTTTGATTTGTTGCATTTTTTTAAATGTGGTGTTTTTCATATGTTGTTGAAAAACACAACTAATGCGTCGATGTAATCAACTGGTTTTCCTTAGATAGAAAACTTCAATTCGAATCCATTCGACGATATGATCTGGTTGAAATGTAAAGTGCCCTGAGATGACGTGTGTAGTGAATTGCCGCCATTAAAATAAACTGAATAAAAATGTTTTTTTTTTAATATGTTGTGTCTTTTTAATTTGTAGTTTTGCTTGAAGATGAATTAGTATGTTTTGCACTTCAGGGCCACCATACACTATTTTACATCTACAGTATAACTTATAGATTACATTCTATGGGGGTAATCTTTAGATAATCTCTAGGTAAGGCTTTAGAATAAATCCTTAAGAAAGGGTCAGTCAGGTCGTGAATCACTGGGATGTATAGTGTAAATATATTGGTCCAGCGTCTTTGAAAGGGGGCGCTCAGGATTCAAGGGTTGATAATGATACAAACTCTTGCTTTGGAGAACCCTGATATTTTTGCTATCTCTCAGCAACAAACACCCCTCATGGAGGCGATTAAAAACAAAATGATGTGCTGGATCCACAGCATGAGGAGTCCTCCTCTAGTTGGATGCATTTGCAGCTGGCAGCTAACATCCTTCGATCCGGATGAAAATACTGTGAGTCTTTTACAGAATCTCCATCCTAACGATGCAGTTAATATGCAAACTAAGAATTTAATAGACTATTCTTCCACTTACTCCACTGTTGATTGATTGACTTAAAAAAACGTTTTAGAAAAATATGAATGAATTGAACTTTGGCCTTGCAGAATCATTTTACTTACTAAGTACATTGAGCTTGGCTCTTCTGGATCGCAGGGCGGCCTCTGTGGCCTGACACTCGTACAGCGAGTCATCTGAGAGTTGAGCGTGTGAGATCTCTAAATTGTACTGGCCGGTGTCCAGCGCCCGCAGTATACGATACCTGGGCCAGGCTGCAAGAAAAGCACAACACAAATGCAATCAATGAACAGAAATAAATTGGAAAAAAAAAATTTCTCCACCATGTGATTGTTTTTTTTTTTTAAACCACATTTTTAGTCATTCTTCACCAACAATTTGCTAAACAACACTGAAGTCAAAACATGAAATTTCCTCTGATTTAGTGGGAGGTGGAGAAAAATCAAAAAAATAAAACAATTTTCAGCAATTTTCCTCAGTAATTACCTAAAACAAGAATTATTTCTTCAGGTAAAAAAGAAAGCACTGGTGAATTAACAGGAGCTGCTGATTTGTTTTAAGTCAGAATGGCTGAACATAAATTTAATACCTTTATTTTTTGAAGAAAGAGTACTGATTAAGATTTTTAAACATTATTACTGATCAAATCTATCTCTTCATTTTGCAAAAAAATGTGTTTCCTGTTATAAGACAAATAAATATTCATTAACACTAACATGATGAGTAGACCAATGTTTTGCCTCAATTATGTGATACTGAGATTACAGGTTTGCTGATGACTTAGAGCTGAAACATAGAAATAGTGATAAATAAATGCAAAGTGGACGACTCAGACAAAATTGTGTTTACCCAAACAAGGTGGCTTTGGGTGAGCATTGGCTCTTTAGCTGCAGCTATGCCTGAAAATAGAACTAAATTAAAAAGTTAATCAAATGCCAATAACCGTACGTTTTCAGTTTACTTGATATCAATTTGAATTTTGAAAGCTAACCTTTACTGTCAGATTTATCTATAATTATATGTGCAGTGATAGTTTACAGAACTGTGGGTCATCTTTGTGGGTTTTGTTACAACTATTTAGTGAAAAAAGGTAATGAGAATCTGTTTACCCCTAAACAAAATGTTTTCAGACTCGTCAGGATAAAAACATTATCTGTGCGTAATTATTATTTCTATATTCATGGTTGTGCAACGAGTCATGTTGTCAAATAAAAAGTTTAGTTATTGTTTACTCATTTGCATTTCTTTCTAGAAAGAAATGTAAAATGCTTTTAGGACCCTGGCAGGACTCCAGGGTGGGCATTTCCCCATATGCAGCACTTATTATTAATATGGAACACCTGAGGACATGGTACACTGAATAACTTGTCTCTGCTTTCTTCCACACTGCCTCCTTTTCTTTTTAGATTATCACGATTGCACATTACAATAATTTCCCTCACCCATTCATAACATAAAGCACTGATTTCACTGACTTTCACAATACTTAAAAAGATTTGAAACTTTGTTGTTTCTGAAAATCATTATCGTTTTATCTCATGACGTCATCCTTTTTATTGTTGTACTGGAGACAGGATATGTCTAATGTATTAGTCATCTGTGGCTTTATTTCTCTTTTCATTTTCTTCAAAATAAGGACAGAAGACTGATGCCTGCATTGTTTACAGCACGAAGCAAAAAGAGCAAGCTTTTCTGAAATAGATTAATTCGGATTCAAAACCTCATTATATGAGTCAGAGGTAGCAAACAGAAAATGGGGCATTCACTTATGTGGAAATGTCAAAGCTTATCAACTATACAGGGAACATTGAGCGTAATATTCAAATGTTTCACACACTTCTTTCCTTTAACTGCTCTGTCTGGAGATCAGAACTGTGCCTTTCCCACAAACATCACACAAAATGATAAAACCACACACACATTTACTAATATATAGATAAACATCTACAGAAACACGGATCAAATACAGTTGCATATATAAAAAGTGTCAAATCAATCCCTGTGTGATTTGAAAACTGCAAAACTACAGGCCTTGCTATTCCAATTACAGCTGCACCCCAACACCCCCTCCTCTGTGTTTGAACCGTCGCCTTTCGCACAAAGAGATAATTGAGCATGGCGTCCCACTAGGGGGCACTCATTGATCCTACGTGCCAGATCCTCACATGACATCATGGATTCATGGAGGAGGGAGGCAGTTGGGGTGCAGAGAGAGAAACAAGAAGGGTGGTGGGTTGGGAGGGTGGGCTGGGGGATGGCAAAAGTATTAGTGGAGATTACATCACCCACTCCAGCACCTCGCAGCATAGCAACCACAGAGGTGAAAGCACCCTGGGGAGGAGAAGACGGAGCAGGAGGAAGAACAATAAACTGCTACCACGGATGCCTGCAGGTAGTGGAGGGATGTTTGTTTTAGGTATGCACAGAGTCTAAATGTGCACCTGTGCATTGATTATGCTGGAAACTCTTTCTATTGAATACATTTCATATTTGTCTGCACCACTAAGTGCTGTTCAACTGTTTTGGTGAATGAAGGCACGTGCGTGGGTGAGCTGCAGGTTTGAATTTGCAGCACTCTCTGTATGCCTACACTGTTCAAAACAGCCTTTTTAGTCATGCAGGTCACGTATTTCCAAAATCCTGTTTCATCCAACGTATGTCACACACCTGCACCACTTTGTCGAATCATTATGTTGATTACAGACTTTAATGAATTACAGACTTCAGACATGCTTGACATGCCATTCAAGAGCAAAAGATGAACAGGAGAAACTGGCAAAGCACACAAGTGAAGAGAATAGAAAATAAGGTAAGAGTGGTAGTCAGACAGCTGAGTCTGAAAAATGAACAGGCGGCAGGGATGAATGGCTGGAAAGCAAAGAAAAGGCAGACAAAGAGGACAAGATTGGTATTAAGTGTTGGTTTCAGTATGGCAGTGTTATGAAGGACCACAAGGACAAGGGGAGCATTTATGAGCAATAGAGTCAGAAGAGAAAAGGATGGGAGGAATAGAGGGCGAAGAGGATGAAGAAAGAAGCAACAGCAGGATTCTTGAAAAGTGATGATTAAGGTACAGTAAGAGTAAAAGATCTACTGACCTTTCCAAAGAGGTAAATTAGGCTGAACACAACATCCCTGTCACTTGCTAAATTATTACTGAGCAGAGCCGTTAAAAGTGGATATGCATCTGCTTGATATGTTATAGACCTTTTTCCTTAATTCTGCAGCTGCAAGTTTGCATCTGCTTTAAGAGCTTTTAACAGTAGCAAAGGATGCAAAATACAGTTGTAACCAATCCGAAGAAATTAGCTTATAGCCCAAAAACTATGAATACCTAGATATTAAACTATATGTTTTAATATTCATTCTATATTACCAGTGCATAAAAATTAACAAATATTAAATGGGGGATGATTGCAGAGTGGGCTGAGTTTGGACTTGTTTATATATGTTAATAAGGGATGAAAAAAACTATAATTTAGCTATTATATTATCATTTATCAGATTTTTGATGCAGAATGACTTAACAGAGAAGCAACAAGAAGATTCAGCAGCAACAGAATTAAGGAAAAATCCTTTATTTTATCTTCTTAAGCTTTCAGATTATATCTGACATGGACAACATAGAGTACTGAAGAATATGAAAATGTTGTGACCTTGTTGGAAGATTTTAATCACCATATATTGAGATTTACATTCTACTAAAATTCCAATAGCCTACCAAAGCAGTTAGCAGTTCTTTTAAACTCATCGTTAAATAAATGTTGCAATGATGCTGTCTTCATTACAAATGTCACCAAAATAAGTTTTGGACAATTTATTGCTAAAATATAAACCTGTGTTTTATTGAGCACTTATGTTCCAATTCTCATCTCTCATGCACACATGGTATAATGTGTCTGCTCATTAATAATTTACGCCTCTGTAAACTAATACTCTGCCCTAAATAAATTACACTAAACTACACCGCTAATAAATCAGCTTTATTGCTCAGAAATGTGTGCACAGACATGGAATTTGACTTCACTGTGAACAAACGTGGTATAAATAATTAATATTAAAAAATGAAAAAAAGCAACAGTATGTACATGTGTGTTTATGTCATTTATGTATATATATATATATAAAAAAAAAGATGATTCAAACAGGCTTTTTTTGTTTCACAGTGGAGTAGCTGACTGTAAGGCTGCTTAGAAACAGGCTGTAAAGTGTAATTTTGTTCATCATAGAGAGCCTGAGGGAAGACAGCTTATGTTTTGGGTGGTTTTGGTAATTAGCGCCAACCTGAAGATAGAATTCAGCGCAGCTTGTTTGCAGGATGTGTGGGGTCTGTAGAGATGTTAGTTTCCCTTTTCAGTGGACCGCTGTCCGGATCCGGACCCAACTGGATTTAAAACATTTATAGATTACTGCATGTTGTCTGACAACAGTGTCCAACTTCACTTGCCGCTTCTTCTGTTAATATGGTAAAGCCGTCCGGACCGCCGGGGACCAGTCTACACGTAAAAAAAATTATCCAATGAGCTGCTGTCAGTCTGGGTTGCTGCTGCTGCTACTTTCAGACACAGCAGGCAAACCTGTGGCAAGCCGGGCGATGGGAAAGAAGGAGAAGATGATGAGAAAAACAGAGCAGAGAAAGTGTGGACTGCTGGAAGAAATGTGGTGAACTGGTGACAGAAAAGTGAAATGGCGTGCTCTAAGATGACCCTGCACATTTAGAGGATGTTGGGCTCAACCTGCTGCTGTGAAGCAGGATTCTCCACCATGAACAGAATCAAAAATAAATATGGATCCAGGCTCAAAATGAGCTCCTTGTATTGTGCTTTAGAATGGCTTTGTCTCCATTAAAACAAGGTTTAAAGCCTTGCAGGGCAGCATGAAGCCCACTGCTCTCATTAAGCCAGAAAAAAAAAAATATATATATATATAAATAAATATAAAAATTATGTGAATCAGGAAATTGTCTATATATCAAAGTGAATGATTGTTGTTCTCTACTTGAAAAAAACAATTTAGATTTTAAAATTGAAAAATGTTCTATTTGTTTTTAATATTTTTTTCATTTAAAAAGTCAATGTATAACATTGATGCATAAAAACCTGCTTTTTATGTCAGTGATAAAGGCTGTTTAAAGTAACAGATTATAATTAAAAATGTCTCCGGACCTTTATTGGTTGATGATTTTCTTTATTTGGAATGCACTGATTTTCAACTGGTTACCGCTTCATTAGACCTTTACAGATTCTGAATGGAG